AGATAAGTAATTTCTATCAATGACAAGTTTAACTGCATTTTTCAAAAAATTATTTCACTAAAAAGACTTCATAATAAAAAGGTCTCTTAGAACAAGACTTTAACCAAGACTTCATGAATCCTGTAATATATTAAAAAAACACTTTCAATAAAAAAAAAATCGATAAAAAACCTTCTTTATAAAGTAAAGCAAAATCATACTTCTTTTTTTTTTTAATCAAAGAAAAAAAGCATTTATTTAAATTAATACAATTGAGTAAATTGCCTATATTAGGTCAGATTATTATTTCTGAATACTATTCTTTAATAAATATTTTATATAGGTTAAAAATATATTTCAATCAAATAGCAACATTTCAGTTTTTTCCCATTCCCCTATTTACACGAGTTGAAATAAATTAGTAAAAGGAAAAGAAAAAAGATTTAAACACAAAACACAGGAAAATAAAATTTCAAAAGCTATAATAATTTCATAATAAGTTTAGTTTCTTAGTCAATAAACCAAATTTATGACAAAACAAATCAACAAAAATGAGTACAACAAAAATATATAAGAATGAAATTGCAAGTAAGTCAAAGATTTAATTTAAACATACTCCTTGAAAATGTGTATATTCATAATGGGCAGTACATTGCAAAAATCAGGCATGTAAAATTAAATTCTTTGTGATATGCTTCAGTGCCTTTTAACATTCAGAAATTCAATATTTAACACTTTAATAAGTAATTTAATTAAAGATTAGAAAAGGAAAATAAACAGAAATATAAAGAATGTTAAACTAAAGCAAACTGAAAAATATTATGACAAATACATGATTACTTTTGCAATAATAATGTATAATATAATGTGATTATAATAATAATATAATTGATAATTATTATTATTCATCTTATATAATTATATAAATGATAATTTTTATATAAATGATAACTTTTATATAATATAATATAAATGATTACAATAATAATAATATATGATATAATAAATGATTACTTTTAATAAAAGAGTTAACAGTCTTTTTTTTTTTTTTTAGTTTTTTGGAATAAAGACATTTTTTGAAATTCTTATAAAATTCAAAAATAATATCGAAAGCAGAACTATTTTACGAGTCACACAAAATCACGAGGTAAATTTATACATAAAATTGAATATTAAAAAAATATTGTAATTTTCCTTAAATTCTGTTGTGTCAAGTAAGTCATTTGCACCTTTATCTACAGAAACACTTCACAATAACCAATTATGATTTAACCTTATTTGTGAAGTATTGCTACAACAACACTACAGTTTCCCATTAACAAAGATAAAACTTCATTATTTTTTTTAAATAACTGGTTAAAACATTACAAACATGAAATCTACGTACAAATAAACACGTTAGCACGAAACACTAATTAAAAACAAATAAAAAACTGTTAAAATGTAAACTTCTAATTGGGTATGATTTTTTTGAAAATTAACCTTTAATATACAAAATAAACTTTATCAAGCTTAAGAGCTTATTTTCAGAAATATGTTACATTAACTACAAGATTTATAAAGCTTTAAATATGCTAGTAATATTTTGAGACCTTCATATTTTATCTTCAATATTAATGTATATTTAAATTAAAATTTTAGAAAAATTCAGCATAATTCTTTTTTTTTTACTAATTATTTAGACACAAATTATAACATAGTAAGCCACAACTTAAATAAAAAGGATTAATAAATATGCAAAATAATAAAAAACATAAGATCACACAATCTTAATAAATGATCACAAAACTGAAATAAAATAACTTTTACTTAAAATAAAAAAACTTTTTTCCTTGGCAGTAAATGTTATTAAACATTAAGCGTACCTTATATAATAAAATTGATCTCCAAAAATACCTCATACTTGGTTAAATACATTGAATACATTTTACATATAAAATAATTAACCTTAAAAAATGTTTTATCGGTAAATAGTATTTGTATTTAGTTTAATTAATGCAATGACACCAAAAATAAGTAAAAATAATATATACTTTGTCAATTAAAAATAAATACTAAGACCTGCACTTTTTATGTAACTGTCAAAAATAATTGTTATAAAAATTTTTTTAAAAATTAAGCACATGATAAAGATGTTTGCAAAAGAGCAAAGCACATAACAAGTTTTTAGCAACAGTTATCAAATTTCTACAGACACTGACACTCTTTATCATTATCTTTAAAAATTAAGTACACAATTTTTTGCCACACATTCATTGTAAATATTTAAATAAAATGCCTTACGACTGTATGAAGGCTAGTAATTGATCAGATTTTAATTGGAATTAATATATAATAGTACTTTTTCATTCATTTTAATGTAATACATAAAAAAAGATCTCTGATTATCATGATAGTTTTAATAGAATAATTTTTAAAGCAATTTTTACTTTATTTAAACTATTCAACTCCAAAATTTCACTAATAAATTAGAATCAGATTAGGAACAGTCATTATTTTAATAAAACTTAACAACCAGGAAATAAAACTATTTTCACATATTTTTGGCAAAAACAAAATAAGTTTTGAAATATAATGGGAAGACACTTCAAAATGCAATGATAAATAACATTAGAGTAGAACCCTAATTATACAACACCTAGGGGACTAGGGGTGCGTTGGAAAATCCTTTTTTGAAATTTTTATGTCAATTTTATAAGTGTGAGTAAAATTACTCAAAGCAATTAGCAATAATAATAGAATCCCTTATCAGACATGGGAGTAGGAAAAAAACAAAATGTTTGAAAATACCTATCAATTCAAATAATGAAAACACAATAAAAAAGCATGTGAAACTATTTTTTACAAAAAGCAAATATTTAAATTATTTAGATACTTGTTTAAAGTTTTTCTTCTTCGTTACTTTATCTACAAATTGAGTCTAACAAAAGTTTTTTTTAAATAAATCATGATTAACAGAGCTGCCAACATGGATAGGAAAAAATCCAGTGGATTTTATGAAATAACATACATTTCATGATAATTGTTGCTTTATGTACACATATTTTACACATAGGGAATTTTAACGTCATCAAACACTGCAATATTGCCTAACTAGGATTGACATTAGATGAACTTAAAATGCCATGTATTATGTTTACACACAATTTTGAATAGTAGTAGGTATTTAATTCCTCAAAGATAATTAAAAATCTTTTAATTGAAAAAGAGAGTTCTGAACAAATTAAATAACAGTACATTTTAATACAAAAAAAAGTTTTAAATTGATTATTATATATGAGGCTCGCTTCATAATTTTTTAGTAATACATAGTTAAATATTCAAATATTCAAGCAAGCAGTAATCAGTGCAAAAATGATATTTCAATATGTAGACCAGGAGAAACTGGCCAAAATCCAGGAGAGTTGGCAGCAGATATGGATTAAGGATAATAAAATCATATTAGAGTAAAATAGCAAAATAATGTAGAAATATTATTTTAAAAAAAAATCAATATTTAATATAGCTTTTTCTCTCTTCTAAAGTTTAGAAACTTTGAATAATCTTATGTCTGTCTTACCCATGTTTTTTTTTCTGTCATAAGTAAAATAATCGTATGACACAATATCATGAAAAAAAAGTCATTCTCAATTTTTTTGGGTCATTTTCTAGGAGTTTTTCAGAATTATGATCAAGGTAGTAATTAATGAGTTTAATGATCAAAAAGAAATAATACATCAGCTACACTAATACAGTTTAACAAGTATTGAAAGAGGTGTCGGATAACTGAATAGATCAGGCGTTGAATAATTAAGGTTTTACTGTATTTCGCATATAAATGAAATATATTCGTCAATAATTTATAATGAGTTTAATGATCAAAAAGAAATAATACATCAGCTACACTAATACAGTTTAACAAGCGTTGAAAGAGGTGTCGGATAACTGAATAGATGAGGAGTTGAATAATTAAGGTTTTACTGTATTTTGCATATAAATGAAATATATTCGTCAATAATTTATAATGAGTTTTAAACTTTTAATAGAATAACAAACAAATAGAATAACATGACATGCAAAACACAAATACTAAAAACCAGTTTGCTGAAAAATTAATTTACGAATTCTTAAAGATCAAGAATTTCTTTTGATAATTTAACAATGAATTAACAATTAAAATTACATGTGTTTTTAAATTGATCATAATTAGGGTTGCAAGTTTGTCGTCAAATTTCACATAAAATTTAGCAATTTCTGAGAAAAACTAATACAAGCATGTAAAACATAATTTTTTTTTCGATTTAATTTAATTTTACGTAACGTTACATTTATTCATATAAACAGAATTTCAAAGAAATATTGCAAATTGTTAAATTATTCTTGATATGTTTCTCCGTTCATCAAATATTTGGTTGCTAACATTTCTATACGTTTTTTAATGCAAAGTTTTTATAAATTTCACAGTCCTGGCCATATAGCCCGTGTTACCCCCTCACTCAGTTAATTGTCATTTCAATTGATTTCTGGTAAAGTTAGAGCTTATTGCACTACTTGGAAGGCATGTTGCTCCTATTAATTTATAATTGAAAAGATAGTAAGACCACCTTACTTAATAAGATTTGGACTATCTCTGAACTATTTTCATGTGAAATTACTATTGATTTATTTTCCTAAACATTTTATCAATAAAAAATTATAAATTTTGCTGCAGAGAAGTAGTAATTTTTGTTAGAATTAGTGTTGTTGAATTATAATAAGGTGAAAAAACTTCTCCGTTTAAACAATTTTTGCACAAATCACAGCACTTCAAAAAATTTCTGGATTTAAGAATAATAAATGATGGAAATGAGCATGAAAATTCACTCCCTGACAAACTTGCAACCCTAATTATAACGCATACAACTTCAATGACTTTTTCATGACTAGTAATTGACTAGTATATTATTAAAAATTAAGCGTACCTTATATAATAAAATTTATCTCCAAAAATACCTCATAGTTGGTTAAATGCATTGAATACATTTTACACATAAAANCAAAGATATACAAACAAGTTGAATTCAGAGAATAAACAAAATCAAAATAGTTACTAAAATCGCATTTCAATCTACTAATATACAATTTTTCTTAAAAAATAAAATGAGATTCTATGAAAAGACATGATTAGAGTAAAACACACAAAAAGATATTCCAAAATAAATTGCAATTTACCTGTCAACACTGCTTATAAAATATTAAAACAAGAATTTGAATAAAATACAGGGATGTTATTCATAAATTAATAACTGTATAATATAAAGAACAGTTTAATAACTACATAGAGCAACTGTTCTCCATGAACACAAATGAGATTTTTCGAAGTAAAAACGTAACAAACTATCATATTTAATTAAATTTTAATTTAAGCAATAACTTCTCCAACACTTAAATAAATAAATTTCAGTTAATTTTAACAAATAAAAGCAAGCAATGTTAAAAGATTTGTTAAACAATGAGAATGATAATAATAATTGGTGATTAATGAATTTATATCTTTTCTAACATCATACAAAAAAATATTGAGATGATTTAAAGAAATGATAGGAAGTTAAATTGATACTTATATTAACATGCACTAATTTTCAGTTTAAGCTAAAATTTATTTAAAGAAAAAAAAATTCATCTTAAAATAACTTCAATTAATCAGATAGTAATTCTAATAAAATTTCGTTTTCTATTTATACATAAAACAAAAGTTAAATGGGAATTTAAACATAGAAAATTTACTTGGATTATTTGGATAATTAGTTTTGATGTGAAAAATAGATTTCTTTAGATGGGCTATAAAATTGTCTGGAACTTTCCTTGTTTGAGACAAAATTACAATGTGAAAACACTCCAGTCAAAATTGGATGATACTATCCAATACATGCTGCACTGATAATCCACAAGAAAAGAAATCATCTCCAAAATGGGGAAACGGTGAGGGATGACACAGATCTACTTCTCTACTACTCAATTCTGTACCCTTTAAAAAGAAAACACTTCATATAAAAAATATGTTTAAATAATAAATTTGCATGTTAAGGAATAAGTAATACATGCTTAAATTTAAGCAATATAATAGCTAATGTGTTAGGAAGCTTATAGCTTATATGTTAGGAAGGTCCTTAAGATAGTTCTCATACCTGCCAACATTGGAGAAATAAAATAACAAAGATTTTACTAACTGACCCAATTTTGGGTTAACGACTAGTGATGTTCAACCTTGTAGCCTTATAATTTTGTATCTAATCCAGAAGACAAGGGAACCTGTGGATCAAGTAGTGGGAGAAATTTGCCTTTAAGGAGGGCTTTTTGATGCAATTAACCCGCCTTTGAGTTAGATGGAGAGGAAGACCACGAGAACCTCCCATCAGGGAAGGGGAATCCAATCTGTGATACGCTTACCACTGAGGATATTTCCCCTCAGAACTGTGGTCGGTGCCAGCCAGATGCGGAATGCGTATCGACCAGTCATCGCTCGGATTGAAAGCTGTGTTTACCTCAGAACCTTACCCTACCCCTTAATTACCTTAGAAGGTGAACGCTCAATCCCTTGAGCCATCACCGCTCAAGTTAAACAATTAACACTCCACATTAGCACCCTCTGTTGATGAATAGGAGAAGTATTTTTGCCATCAATGGATATTTTATCAAACACTTTTTAAAAAAAATTCTTCAATAAATGCGGGGAAATTCGAGAATATACAGGTAAACAGGATATAGTCGTAAAATACAGGAGTAACAGGAGACTTGGCAGTTATGAGTTCTTTTAAAAAGGGGTATACTTTGTATTATCTATAATAATAAAAGGAAGAGTTTACCTGCCTGTCTCTCTCATAACTCAAGAATGATTGAATGTATCATCCTGAAATTTGGAAAGTGGCTACAAAGGCAAATTTAGCCCCCGATATTAAAATTCACTCCAAATTTTCAAATACTTTGTTCAGCAGACTGCAACAATACTAGGAAGCTTTAATATAGATACCATAGCTGCTAACATGGATAGGAAAAAATCCAATAGATTTTACGAAATAAATTTTTTTGATAATTGTTGCATAATGTACGAAATACTTTACGCATAGGGAATTTTAAAGATTTTTATAGTTATCAAAATAGAAAGAATGCAATATTGTCTAGCTAGGATTGACATTAGAGGAACTTAAAATGCTGTCTATTATGTTTACACACAATTTTTAGCAGTAAGAGGCATTTAATTTATCAAAAGGAGTTAAAATATTTTTTAATTAATTTAAAAAGGGAGTTCTGAATAAAAATAAACTAAATATTTTAGGTCAAAAACAGTTTTAAACTGATTTTTATACATGAGGCTACCTTTATTATATATAATAATTATTGCAATATTCAAGTAAGCAATAATATGTGCAAAATATCTATTTCAATTGGGATTTTTTACGAAACTTACTCAATTTTATCGAATTTTCTAAAAGGTGAAAAAACCAGGAGAATTTTTATTAAACCAGTAGACCAGGAAAAACTGGAAAAATCCATTAGAGTTGGTAACTATGAGATACTATAAAAAAGGGTTTTTTTTACAGTCTCTCTAAAGGGAAAAGACACAGATAAAATTGTGTGATTGTGGTAAATTTTGTCTATAATGAGTTGAGTAACAGCCTAATGCTAAATGATTCAGAATACAGTTAATCTTTATTTTGACGAGATGAGCCATTAAAAACATGCTCTGCTTAATCTATTAACACAAAGGATAAAATCTAAGAATAAATATTAAAAATGGAATATTTTTTAGCTTCACTAATTTGCACAATAATGAAACACTAGATAAGTTATATTTTACTTGTAAAAATGAATTTAAGAAAAAGGAAAAATGCATGTTATAATGCAACAATTGAAACAGTACAATTATTTTAACAAAGAAAAAAAAAAGATTAAGTGCTTTAAACATATTTATCTATCCTCAAAATAATTTGCAAACATTCTAAAGCATTTTTTAATGATTTTATGAAATATTTTTGAAACAAAATGCAGTTTACTTACACACAGTAAATTAATAGTCTTAATCATGTAATGATTAGTAACTTTTACATAGTCTAAATCACATAATTCATAATAAAGTGATTAGATGTGACTGCTATTCCGATAATTTTTTTATAAGTTTATTGTTAACAATAATCTGATGTCTTAAAATGCAAAAACAAAAATTATTCTAGGTTATTTTTAAAAATAGAAAGGTATTTTTGCATAAATAGTGAACATTCAAAGCACATAACATAGTGCATATAACACCCTCACGTTTGACAATAACTTAGTATTTAAACTATTAAGTAATATTTTACATAAAAGCGTTAAGGCTTTTTAAATTAAGTAAAATTAGGGATTGAAATAGAAAAAAGTTTAAGCATAAAAAAAACTTTGAAAAGTTTATTGCATCAAAATATATAGCCTATTTCAAGAGTCGAAATTCATCTCTTCTTTTAATTGAAGAACTTAGTGTAAGAACAGTTCTAAGCTACACTTTCAATGAAATTGAGATTTTTCAGGGAAAGAACTTATTTAAGTCTTACCTAACTGAATAACATTAATTTAATTTATAATTAGTGATCTTTAAATTTTGAAAATCAAAGAGGAAGAAGGCACAAATTGACAATATAAGAGTTTTTACAGAATTGAAGAAATTCCAAGTGTAATTGGCAACTAACAGTGAACCATTAAAAGTTTATCTTATCATAGCAAATTAATATGCCAAGAGAATAAAGGCTGTGTACTGAATAGTTAAAACTTATGTTAGGAATTTACAAAAATTGTGTCAATTGGAAGCTGCAGGACAGGAAATAAAGGTAAGGCATAAACTTTACTTCCTAATGTCAATGTAACGACTTAACATTACTTTCTACGCAAACTCAATAAAATGTTACTTAGAATTTTATTTTATGATATAGTGTATACCGTCCAACTCCTATTTTTCAAAAAGCTAAGCGTACAGCTAGATTTTGTTTTTTAATTTGCTGGATTTACAACTTTTAGTATATATTTTAAAGTTTTAATTATTAATCCTATTACTAGCTACAAAGAAGTCTATTTATCCAGAACTATGTTTGTTAGTGATCCTTGTTGTTGTTGTTGCTGCTTATCCTCTTCTGGCCAGACGAAGTCAGACCAGATCTATGAACCCGTTGACCTGAAGAAAATCAAACACCAAAAGAGGAGTAGAGTAAATGTCTTCCCAGAGAAGACCAAGACAGTTCAGGATGTGATCGGCGGAAGCCCGGTGTAGATGGCATTTAGGGCAGAGGGGGTAGGTTTCAGTTCCCTTAGAAAATAGTAAATTTTTAAGATGGCCGTCAGCTAGGCGGGAGATGGTGGTGCAGACTCTCCTTTCAAAGGGAAGGATTAGTGATCCTTAAATAGAACTTATAATCATTTCTCAATTTTTTTAAAAATACTTGCGAGGCAAGAGAGACAATTCCCACACATGTATGTGCATTTCTACGTAGTTTAAAGATGGTACAGAAAATACAGAAGATTTTAATCTAAGTGCAGAAGGCGGGAAACTTCCACATAATGCAGAAGAGTTGGCAGCTCCTTAATAGTTTTTTTCCCCTTAAATTCAATAACAATGTTAAATTTTCAGCCATTACAAAAATAAAATGAAAAATGTTTCTTACTCTTTTGAGTGTTTAAAGTGAAGCTGGTCATCTTCTTATAAAAGGTATAAGAGCATTCCAAAAAGAAGAAGATTACCGATGTAAATGGCACAGCAATTCTGTGTTGCAGACCCTTCGATATTTCAAACCATCCCCTGCTTCTCTCCTATAATTATTTGAGCATACATATATCATTTTGCATTTAACACTGACAAATATTAACATGGTATGGTATCTACTACATTTAAGATTTTCAAATTAATGACTTTCAATGACTAATTCCAAGAATTTGTTATGACTTAACGAAGTTACTATTTTCTCTGACAAAAACACAACAATAAATATAAAAAGCATTATAATAACATTAATTGAAATTATAGGTATAATCAAAACTGTTATACTCTGCATCTTCATATTTATAGATTTTAAATTTAAAAAAACAGAGTAAAGAAAGAGTTCAAGCAATAACATAGCTGAAAAAAAAATACAAAAGCAAATAATTTTTCTTCTTCTTTTCTGCAGAATTACATTCCAGAAACTTTTTTTGTTCAGCGGAAAGGAAATAAATACTCCTGGTTTTTCTGTTCTCATTTCGAAATAAAATTTTAAAAAATAATAACAAAAATTCTGCAATCACAGAAATTTAAAAGAAAATTTGCTCTAGAAGTGATGTTTTTTCTTTCATTTTTTTAAAGAACACCATAATTTTAAAAGAACATGATAAAAAAATTTTATATTTTAATAAAATATGACTGTGAGCGAAGATTTTGTTACAAATTCAGATATTCGGAACACTATGAAATTGGAGGGGGGAGTAAATTCCATTTTAAAAATTAGATTTTTCGGTGACCTAAATCCATGACTTTCCATAATTTGTTTAAAAAAATAGTTAAAATCATAAAATTTCATGACAAATTTTGTTCAATACCGAAATTCATGACTTTCCATGATTTCTCATGACTTTCCAGGTGAGCAGATACCCTGCACATCACAAAAATTTAGAATAGCAACTGATGTGACGTGAATTGTGGTATCATTGAGCACTGGTACATGGTGTTTTGTACTCTGCATCCCCATGCAATTTATTGGGTGCAATTAGCACTTGCTGTAAAGCTATCACTTATCAAAAACCTGTCGAATTTGCACTGGATTTCAGGGCAAGATTCTGCTGCAAAAAAACTCTCCAAAAAAAAGGTCAGGATAAATTTCAAAGAAAAAAAAAATTAAAATATCAAAATGCACGTTTAAGTGAATTAACCAGGGTTATGGAAACAGGAAATTTTGAAGTCAGAATTAGAAAAACTTTCTCTACCCCAGATAGGTAAAAGTTAGACTAAGGTAAACAAAAAAAATTTTTTTTTAATGTTTTATCTGAGTGATGAAAGGTATTTAAACAAATATTTATAATAATGAAAAAAATATTATTGAAATAAATATTATGACAAATTTTAAAACTGTTTACCACCAACCTAATTAATCACATTTTGATCGGTTAATTTTCAAGAAGACGGTCATAAAAGTGCCTATTTTTTTTATCCCTGAAACTTACATAAAAATATTTGTATGAACAATATATATATAGTCATTTTTAATTCTTGATTTGTTTTTAGCTTAAAATTTTAAAAAATTAAATTTTCAGGAAAAGCGAACATTCAGGGTCACTATGACTTAATGTTTGTTTTCCAGCAAGAAAGGAAAATTTCAAAAATATGTGTTTTAAACATGAAGGAAGAATTTTATTAAACTTTAGCATAATATAAATAAAGATTAGTAATCTTTTCTTGTGTGATAAATTTCAAAGCATGAGATACAGAGGCCAACGTCACAATCTGGACTATAGTACCGAGTTTCCTTCCTACATCTCTTATTGTTTTCATCTCTTCCACAATTACCTTAAAAATATCCTGGTACTGCCATCTGGTGTGTAAAATGAGAAATAAAATATTTTCCAGGCAAAAGAATAATTTTGGTTTTATTCTTATAGGTGCGTTACTACTGAACACTTCAGCCCGTCAATATCACAAGAGCGAGAAATAGAAGCCGAAACTTCACCCCCTCATTTTCACGGGAACGAGAAGGAAGGGGTTAAATGTTAAGCCTATGTTTAATTAAACAATTGAAAAAGAACACAAGAGAATTACAGAAACTATAGAAAATTCAAATTTAAAAATGCCCAGTCAGAAAAGGTGGTCTGTATAGTAAAATAAAAACATTGTTGAATAAATGTGCTTATACCAAATGGATACATTTTAAAACGCTGAGTTTAATTTTTGATAATCCAAGAACGTAAGGCCCCGCTTTTGTATACAGTTTTGGTAGCAGGCTATATAGAAAACTGGTACATAACTATTTCGATTTTATTTTACTATTATTTTTTATAAATATTGTTATGTGGCCACTATTAAAATCATTGGATTATAAAATCAATCACGATTTAAAATTAAACTTGGAGAACAGAAACATTTTAGTACCAAAGCACGATAAAATCATCCTTTTATAAAATAAAACTTTTTGTACTGTATACATTTAAAATTATAAGAAAACTTGTTCGTTTTTTTTTTCTCTGAAAATTAAAATTTTCCATTTTTTTAAGTTTTGAAAATATGTGGATAACAAATTTATTTGAACACCCTACGGCCAAAGTTACAGGTGTAGATTATACTTCTTATTTAATAAGTTAGGAAACAGGGCGTGTAAAAAATGAAAATTGTTCATAAATTAAGAAAAGTTGCAGAATAAATATCATTCAGTGTCAATGATCTACCGAAAATAGATGTTAGAAATTTGCTTGATATTTCAAAATGAACTTTGTGACTTAAAAAAAAAGAAAGAAAGAAATATTGAAAGTTACAAAAACTTTAAACTTAAATTTTGCTACTCGGAAAAGCTATTTATTTGAAAACCCTTCTGAAAGTTAACAAATGTAGTTCCTATTTATTCAAAATGTCAAATTAAAATAATGTCAGTAAAAACAAAATGTAATGATTAATTTAACTGTTTATCAATTTCTAAAGTTTACTTTAGAATTTTTTTTTCCTTAATGCAGATATTCCGGTTTTTAAAATCAGCCAAATTAGAGAATCAAATGCTCTCAGAACAAATATGACATTAATAGCTTGGATGAGAAAAGCAATAAAAAAAACAAAGAAGCAGAAAATGGATATCTAAAGTATATGCAAAACAATTTTTAAATAATTGAAAAAATACATAAATTTGAGCAAAAAATTAAAAAGTGCAAGGAGAAAACATATTTCCACAGAATATTAATAGCCTTTAAATAAATACGAGACTCTTTATTGTGTAAATATAAATCTTGATTTTAAATTTGATAAATCCCAATCATAATGTGATATTTTTAATCATGGGGACATGAATTGGGATGCGTAATTTAAACTCCTATGAATATAGATCATGGTTTTCAATTTAAAATATTGTGAATACAAAGTACGACGTGTGATTTTAAATCACCTGAAAGTAATTTTAAATTGTTTTTGCCCATACACTAAAAAGCACAAAAAAAAAACAGATCTTTTTTCAAGAATTCAGAAAAGAGAAAATCTTTAATTAAATTGAAAAAAATATATCAAAAAAAAAATTCTGCCAAAACATAGAAAAACCACATTTCCAAATATACGAGGGGGCATCACAATTTTCTTTCAATGTTTGCTGCGGATTCTGTTTTTAGGCATGAACTACAGTTAGGGTATTAAGGATAAGGTTTCTCACCTTTGACCACATATACAATGGAACTGACTGCACCTGCATTCGAAGGAGAGCAAGTGTAGTTTCCTGAATTCGTTGGTTGTGCGTCCCTGATCTTTAGCCTACTGACTGCAGTATTTCGACCACCCTTCTGAACTGTGACTGTACCTGAATACATAAAATGGGGCTTCTGGGCTGTCCACAATGACACATGTTAGGTTAATGGAACTTCCTACTTACTTCCGCATACATATCTGGACCTTCCATTATTTTAGCTTCAGGTACTGTGAAACATTAAAAAATAATCAGTAAAAAAAAAAAGTCATTGATCGATTCTGTAATAATAAGGAAATGATTATATATATATATATAGTTCCTGTGGCAGAATTTTTAGGGCTTTCTGGGACATATGTCTCTAATACTAATATTTTTCTGCAAGATACTTTTAATAATAACAAACATATATGTTACTAATTTAAAATAACAAAAGATATGTGTTTAAAAAAACTAAATGATTTTTTCTCTAATTGAACATGTAATAATTTTTAATTCTAATATTATGGGTGATATTCTCAATTTTTTTAGGGGGGACGCACAAATTATTTCCTTTTTTGAATTATGTAATTAGTAACTAATCATCACAATAATAAAATAATTAAAAATCATGAAATCCGTAGTAATAATTGCCGAAAGAAAGATCGACAACAAAATCATGCGAATTGGACTCCCCAAATGTGTGTTTCAAGATTAGGTCGTTGTGGTAAGTAATAAATGATATCGTATAAAAAATATCAGATTTAAAAACTAAGGAGAAATCAATCGCAATAACTGCTAAAAATTCAATAGAATCATGGCCTTAAAAAGTACAGGGTGCGAAGCCAAATCTTTCAACAAAAAATAAACACCTTTTAAGCACTCAAAAAATATTTTGAAGCACTATATGCATTAACAAAATGCAAAATAATTTTCAAAGACTTTAGATGATAATGAGAAAATAACTAGTTTCTGACAAAGAACTTTTTTCTTGATTATATTAGCCATTATAAAATGATTGAGAGATTTTTCGGTTTGACATCAGAGGGTGGTATTCGAGAATATGTTGCAAAATGCAGCAGAGTTGCCCATGAGAAGGCAATTATCTCTCCAAACCCAGCTCAGTAGACGCACAAACCAACTCGCAAGTATTTAACAAACATGTAAAATGATTGGCGCTTTCATACGCTATGGACCGACGGTACGCCGAAATGAATTGTGAAAACATTGAATAGAACAATGTGAAAAGCAAGCTTTTGCATAAGTTGAAAATCAACATGGTTATGAAAAAAATCTCATTTTTGAAAAGGGAAAATTAACTTTTTAAAAATAACCAATGAAAAAAAAACACCTTTAAAGCTTCTAAATCACAAAAATAAGCACCTTTAAGCACTTTTTAAAAACGCTACGCACCATGAAGTAAATACTCAAATGCACAATTCATAGGTAATTTTAAGTAAAATTTAAGAAGATTGCGTTGTAGATTTCTGTAGAAAAGAAAAGTAATTCTTTTTATTTTTCAAACGAAAAATCTTTCTGCATGAACTCTATAACGTTCTGCAACAATGTCGCCGCGTTTCTGCCCGGGTTTACAGCAGAGTCTCGATTATTCGAGTAAATGTGAACTAACTCAGTTAAAGTGAAGAGTATAAAAAAGGAAAGAAAAAGAGCAGGGTAATATTTTTGACAAAATTTATATGAGTACACTACATACAATTCATATTATAATTAAACTTTAAGATAATACTTTACGAAAATTAAAGAGTTTTTAATCAAAAAAGTCCTTTTTTGCTTTACATTACTTTGGCACTTTTCTGCAGCAATGTTTCACCATTTTTTTTAGAGATGACAGGAAGACTGGNGTTGTTTAATACCTTACTATGTGTTGTATATTGTGGGTAAGTTTCATAAAATTCCATGTGTAATTTCTTGAGTTATCGCGATTTTTGTGAATTTTCCTTAATTTATGATAACCAGTGTATATATGTATTACTAAATTTATGTGTATAATATAAGGATAAAATGCAAGAAAAAAATTTTTTTAAGGAAAAGGAGAATAATTAATAAATAAAAGTTTTTTTAAAATACCATAGAACTCCAATTATCCGAACTCCAATTATCCGAATCGCCGATTATCCGAATCGCTTTCAGAATTCCTATGGAAATATAGTAAAAAGATAAATTTCTCTCTTTTTTTCTTTTTTTATATGAATAAAATGTTAGTAAAGCCAAGGAAAGATTTATGCAGGGAAAGTTTACAGGATAGGACAAAGATAAATAAAAGGAATAACAAAGGAGGGGGAATCCAGTGACAAAAGAGCACATGCCAGACCGTATGAATAAGGATGTTAGTTGTGGAATGTTATCTTAGGAATGTTGTTTGTTGACAAAGAAATGTGAACGCTAGACCCCCTGGTCAGCTTGCTTGTGCCAATTGGCGCTTGTCAGGCACTTTACCGAAGACAACTTTTAAGGAAGCTTTTAGTAAAGGGAAAGGATGAAGAAGGTGTGTTGGATAACCACAAAATGATAAATGTGAAAGATTGCGTGTACATGGTAGCAGAAGCTTGGAATTTGGTTAAAGATGTCTCATTAAGACGTGCATGGAATAAGTTAAAAGGCGCATCAACTAAAGAAGAGAAGGAAAAAGAGAAAAGGGAAAAAGAAGTTTAAGAAGAAAAAAAAGGGAAGAGACAGAAGATGAGGATGAGGATCTCTTGAGGAATTCAGAAACATATTTTTGAAAATTCCTGGATGTTCAGATACCAGTGCTAAAGATATAGGAGAGTGGATGACGTGTGATTCATCAGACTGTGGATTTCAAATTTTAAATGATGATGAACTTATTGAAAAAGTGATGGAGAAAGTGTCGATAAAGGAGATGACCCTAATGCTGAAATTGAGGAAGACACAGGGCCGTCAGTTAGTGAAGCATTTGCTGGCCTTGAAACTGCATTGAAGTGGATGGAGCATCAACCCGAGTGTGACCATATGCAACTTCTCACTATCAAACGAATGCGCAACTTAGCTGCCCAAAAACGGATGAAGACAGTTAAACAGCTTACTTTAACTGAGATGCATGTAGTAACTTGCATTTACTGCAAGGTATGTACACATTATTCATAAAAAGATCTCTTTCCTTAAAAACAGTTCTTTTCCCTCATTTCCACTATACATACAGTAATTATTTAAACTAAGAATTTTTTTAAAAAAAATCCAAATATCCGAATTTTTGATTATCTGAATGGGGTCCTGGCTCAATTGATTCGGGTAGTTGGAGTTCTACAGTATTAAAAAATTAAAAAGTTGGAAAACCAAAAATTTGAAAGATATAATGTCATCGTTAGCTTACATGATTACATCCACAGAGTCCTTTCTAATATTGTATCGCATGAAGCAAAATACATCAATGCCACATGTAAGAAGCGCAAAAACAAAATGCTTTACTTTATTTCCCCCCCTTGTTTTCTTTGTATTTTATCTTATTTTATGAGTTCTGCAGCTTACGTGCAGAAAAATAAAACTTCTCAATTTTCTTTAGTAATCTCTTTTCTTGAATTATTTCTTCTCTGTTTAATGTGTTCATGACATTTATATATTAATAGTAAGACATTTTCCCTTTGCTCTTTGTGGGAGTTGCGCAACCTATTTAATAAACCAATTAAAATTACTAAGATTCCCCTTATTTCCTAAAATGAAACATTTTACAGATTTACTTTGCAAGATTTTCCCTTACTTATATTGAAAAGCCCAACATTTCGTGACCACGCTTTGATAAACGTTTTCTGTCCAATAATTAATAAAAAAATTTTGCACCCTCCTTTATTGCCTAAGACCTGTTTTTTATCCTTCCACTCGGCAATGTCGTTATTTATATATGAAAAAACACTTTACAAAAAATAATAACATAACATGTGAGAAATAGCACACATAAAAGACAGGGAAAATATTCTAACATAAATTTAAATTAAGGCAAAAAAAAAAAAAAAGATTTGGGACATTTAAGCCTTGCAGTGACCTGAATGTCCCAAACTCCACTATTACAAAATTTTGTTAGCAAATATTGATAGAAAATTTGGATCATAAATGACTCACCCACTACTCACAATACTCTTGTGTGGGAAGGAGCTGACCTGACACTCATACAGGCCTTAATCCAAGACACCTAAACAAATAATAAATTTACTATACAGGGATGAGATTGGCTAAAAGACAAAAAAGCTGAATTTCTAAGCAAGTAAATTGTGCAATCGTTTAATAATAAATTACAGACAATTTAAGATAATAAATAACAATTTGTTGACATAAAATTGTGTTCTTTATTATTATTAAATAAATGATTACATCAATACTTAACATTTAGTAAAAAGTAAAATTACCAATGGAAAAAATAAGCTAGAAATTATATTTTTCTTCAGTTCACATAAGAGACAATTACTACGTGAGAAACTGCATGATTTAGCAAATTAAAACTACTGAGAACATGGTCTGTAATAATGGGTCTTACTAATATCTAAGCACCTTAAATCATTCCACTTTTTTTTCATTAGGCTTAACATAATATATATACATATACATATATATACAGTGAAACCTCCGTTAAGCGGACAATCATGGGACCAAAAACTTCGTCCGTTTATGAGAGTTGTCCGTTTACGGGAAGAGTACCCTAATAACGAAATTTAACACCGTAAATTGTTTTTAGAATATTCTCAAAGATGTAGAAATAATTAAATAATATCTACAAGGATACTGTAAATATCTACAAGAATATTTATTTAAACAATAAGAAAGATAAAAAAGAATATATAAAGAAGTTTGATATAAATACATAATTCTGGATGTAGCTACAGATAAATAAATATAATTTTCCTATTAGCATAGATACTCAAGTTAGACATATGATACCAAATAGGAGNCAATAAATATTTTTATGAAAATTTTTATAGAATAAAAATACAATTATGTTTAAAATTTATAATTTTCAAACCAATATATTTTTTATTAGTTCTTAGTGAAACATATAAATAGGGTCTAAAATTATTTTTCAAAGGTATCAACACATTTCTATGTCCAAAAAATTGTTAAAGTAACTTAATTAACAAATTATTTATATTTTCACTATTTATAGACATTTACATTTAATATTTCTTCATAATCTTCTATCATATTAAATATTATTCACTTCAACTATTATGATTTGATATTTTATTTTTATCGTGAATTAATAGTTTTGAAAAATTTTATTCAA